AGGGCGAGGGAAATCGACCGGTCGCGGTCGCGGCTCGGTTTCGCACAGCCACGAAGGCCTACTACGCGGCGCGCGTAAACGTGCCCTACGAACGTAGGTGAGAGCCGTAGGTGAGAGAGAGAGAGACACACGTAGGTGGTCGCATAGGGGGAAAAAAAGTCTATAATCTCCGTCGGGCGGCGAGGAATGACGCCAGCCTACGTACGACGCGCGATGTCGCAGTCGCGCGTGCCTTTTTTTCTTCTCTTTCTCTCCCCCGGCCCGTAGAAACGACGTCGGCTCTCGCGCGCGTTGGAGAGATGTCTTTATTTAGACAGATCCAGCACAACAGGAACAGCCACCGACCGCCGGCAAATTCCCGTCCAGTAGAAGTAGATTTTATGTAACGCGAAGCGCACGCGTTCGATGAATTTCAAAAAAGTTAAGTCTCAGACACGGGAATAAGAAATAAGGAAATCGAATGTAAAGAATTAGGAAGAGGAAATTATTTTCGAATGACCAATGAAAACGCACCTGATACTTCTATATTGTGTATCGAAGCATGGATTCTTATAAAAATCAATTGAATTAGATTGAAATATCAATTGAATCGAAGTTAATTTTTTACGTTTCTAATTTTGTTATTTGTAAGTTCTCATTCCTTATTCCTTTCATTATATCTAAGTTTAAAGAATATCTTAATATTCTTGGATTGTCTATCGAAGCATGGATTTCTACACGACGAAATTTAATTTTCTATTCTTAATTTCTTATTTATAATTTCTTGTTTTATTCTTTTCATTGTCTCTAGGCCCAAAAAACATCTTGGTATTTCTTGATTGTGTCTCGAAGTATGGTTTCGTATATGTCGAAATTTAATTCTTCCCAATTCCCTATTTTTAATTTTTTCTTTATCTGTTCCTTTTACTCATCTAGGTTCATGCGCCCAATTTGCGCCAAAAGTGCATTTAGAATGATCGAATTAAACGAATTGCGCTCGATTTGCTGCGTTTTAAACGATTTGCTGCGTTTTTCTGTCTACGTGGGTGTCATCTTATTTGTAACGTAAATAAAGAATTATCAGAAAAATTATCAGTTATTATTATTTCCAGCTTGAAAACTGACATCTTCTACATTAGAAACTTTTGTGCGCCATATTATTGAAATACTCGTGAATGCTCCGAGTTCTCTTCCGTAATTCACGGTTGACGAAAATGTTACCTTCGTAATCTTCACACAACGATGAATTTCTTATACAAGAGTTTCGGTAAACTCGCTTTCGTAATCTACTCGCGAGAGTCGTTCTCTCGTGATTGTCTCGTTGAAAGTTACTCGACGTAATTATAACAGTTTTATATTTCCCGTTTGGTAAACAATGCGGCTCTTACGCGATCATACTTTCCACTTAAAGCTAAGCTATTAGCACGAGAGAAAAGTATCGAATGTCTGGCCTAATTATTGATGTCGATCGCAATTCATCCGAGCATATCTCTGAAGGAGAGATATCAGGAAGCTGGTTTTGAAATATTTTTAGAGCGACATCAAGTTTAACGAGCGCGATAAAGTTTTCGTTAATGTGATGTGTTTACGGAATAATATAGATAGTATATATTTCACAAGTATCGTATCGTGAGTTTCTACGTTCCAATGTAACGATTCTAATTAAAAGTTTCACTTCGGAAGCGCGCTTTGTGAGAGTATAATATATTGAAATAACAATGTATACATAAATCAACAATGTACATGTAAAAAAGTGGAAGTAGAAAAAGAACAGCGTTTTTTTTAGATCAATCTTCCTTTCTGCGATTTGATTGCTATTATGTATAAAAGTAAATTTGTGTAATGTAAGGTTTCATAGCAATGGAAATATTATAATTTTTGTCACGTTATATAATAATTTAAAATTATAAAAATGTAGAATTTTATTATATGTATAAATAATTAAAATTGAAATAATGGAAATATATTTATGTTGTATAATTATGTTGTATATTATGTTGTATAATATATGTTGCGTACGAAAATAATAAATACACCATTGAATATAACAGAAAAGAATAATATCATAAAATTTCTTTATATGTTATTTCAGATCACCGGCATCGTATTTATTTCGGTGGGCGGGGTGATTCTGGTTGTTTACAGCGGGTATAGCAACTTTGTGGATAGTTGGTTCTTTGCAGCCCCAATCTTAATGATAATAGTCGGTATCATAGTCTTCCTTGTATCATTCTTTGGCTGCTGCGGCGCTGTAAAAGAGAATCATTGCATGATAATAACGGTATGTATCCAAAACCTTATTTCTCTTTTCTTTTCCAATTAATAGAAACGTGAAATTTTGACTTACCTTTATAATAAATAATAGAGTAATAAGATTTTAAATAAACATAATTAAATCGAAAAACTTTTATAACTACTAGGACACATTAATCTGTATATTATATTTGGGTAATAATTTTGACTTACTGCAGTTCTCGGTTCTGCTGTTGCTGATATTTGCTCTGGAATTGGGTGCCGGAATCACAGGTTACATGATGAGAGGAGAAGTCGCTAATATGATAGAAAACCGCCTGAATGGTACTTTGCGACAATATGAAATTAATTCGGATATTCGTCGTTCTTGGGATATCATGCAGCACGATGTAAGTTTGCTATGAGATCTGTATTTAAATATGTTTACAACTTACTAAATATAAAGTGACATTACATACAGTATTATTACATCAATGTTAATTTCTTATTCAGCAATGTAATTGTTACACACAGCATGTATTATACATACTATATTTATACATACTAATTACCTTACTAAGTAGGAAATTATAATGTTAATTGTTGCTATTATAAATGTAATTTATATTGAGTGGAAAATTATAATGTTGCTATATTTAATGCTGTTATTTGTATTTATTAAGAATCGTATGTAATTTATTTAATCTATTCATGATAAAAAACATGATTGAGATTCTCATATAAAGAGAAAATTTTTATTAGTTACATGTATTATACTAATTTCATTATACATTAATAAAACTTGCAAGTTACTGAAAATTAAAATATGACTTTTAGTTACAATGCTGCGGTATGAATAGCCCTTCAGACTGGCCCCAAATTGGTTTCCGTGATAATACTGTTCCTGATTCTTGCTGCAAAGAGATTCCTGCTCAAAGCCGATGCGACTCAAATTCGATTCAAGTATACGGTGATGGCTGCATGATAAAACTACAATCTGCTATAGAGAATAACGCTATGATTTTGGGAGGAGTGGGCATAGGGATAGCCCTTATACAAGTAAGTTTTAATTCAACCTATCTTATAATATTATTAAAATTGTATTAAAGTATTTTTGATTTGTAGAAACAGTTGTCCATATTGATGAACAAATTTTTATATTTATTATAATTTTATTTCTATAAATAACATTAAATATGTAATAACATTCCGATATATATACTGAGTCGGAGA